TCACACGATACTCCTCCGGTCCCGCTCACCAATAATACCGTTTGGCACTGCATATAAAATCACCAGAAAAAGTAATAAACTAAGCTGTTGAAATCTCTGAATTAGACTCAAAGCTCGTATACAGAGAATAACCGTGACACTAACATCACTAGAAATGCTGGTGAAATTAATTTCACCAAATTTCACCAATAATGGTGAAATTAATTCATCATTCTAGTTTAATTCCACCAGCATCTTTAAGCATCACCAACCTAAAAAATTTCGCTATCCGGCCAAATCAAATTTCAAGATCAGATGTAACATAAAATAAAAACAAAAATATACACAAACCCTAACGAAATTTTTTAGGTTGTGCCGGCAGGGTCCATTGATCTTATAGCATTCTGTCTTCCAGCAATGCAGGCTGCAACCACATTAATCCTTTAAATTAAATTTTGACATCAACTATACATATATACAAATATTTATTGAATTTAGTGATTGATTCGATTGGTTAACGATAGGACCTAACGTTACCAATCCGCTATTAGTGTTAGGGTTTGAGTTTTTGCTTTATTTGCAGGGATGTTGGTGCTGCCTCGTCTCTTAGGACTTCATCGTTACCGTAGTTTGATATTACACGTGATTTTGAAATTAGATTCGACCAGATCTTTTTAGGTTGATGACACTGGGGTTGACGATGAGATTTATGATTACACCGCGATATTTTTAGGATTCGGTTGGTTTATATAAATAGATTGATATTACCGTTTAGCACTGCATATAGTACCCAAGGTCTTATTCAAAAACTTCATTTTGAATCCAGTGATTTCATTGGTGGGAAAGGGATGCTTTATGTGATAGGATACTTTTTCTGGTGATTTTATATGCAGTGCCAAACGGTATTATTGGTGAGCGGGACCGGAGGAGTATCGTGTGATCGGCACTATCCATTTTAGAACTGAACATGAATACAAGTTTATTATAACACGTGATCCGTGATCTGTGTCACTTATATATACGTGTAACATATTTTCAAATTCAGTTGGTCTTTTAATCCGAATAGGGTAAAGTACTGTACAATGTTGGCGCAGTGTTAATCTGATGTCCATAATGTCTGCTGTTTGTACGAAAATGACCTTGCATATAAATATCTTTGAATTTATAAGGAATCGAACCCTGCTCCTGTTCTAGTATTATAACAATATTTATTAGACTGATAAATCGTCTACATTTCATCGATGACGGGATGACGGTATGCTTTGCGGGATTTTGTCCAAAGGCCATAAATTTTACAAATATATTTATACATTGTCTTGATTTGATTTTGGTTTTTTTCTTTGTTTCCTATTTATGAAGGCACTCATTTCTCTCGTAAATGGTCTTACTTTAAATGGTAAATTTTTCTTTTTCTTTTTTCCTGTCATCTAACCACCTTTACGATATGAACTTTTGAATATATCTTTTTCATTCAATACATACGTTAAAGATAAAAATATGTGTGAAAAGCTTCCTTCCGAAATTTTACGACATGTTTTCAAGATCATATACGAGGATGGGCTAAATGATCGAGCAGAAATGTTGGAAGATCTTTATACTTGCATTCAAGTTAATAAACGTTGGTGTGAAACTGCTATGCCAATTCTCTGGTCAAATATCATCCCGTCAGCAAGTGTTATCAACGTATATATGTCCTTCTTTACTCCCGATGAACGAAATGAATTAATATCCAAAGGAATTCCATTTCAAAAAATTTCCACAAAACCATCTTTAACCTTTTGTTATCCATCATTCCTTCGAGTTCTTAATTTACATGAATTTTCTTCTGCAATATTTCATTGGTGTCTTCAGGAATGTCCCCAACCAATTTCTGCTCAATATAATGTTTTGTTGCGTGGTTTACTCATAATTCTTGCGAGACATTGTAAAACTTTACAACAGCTCCACCTAGATCGTCGTTTGTTGCTAGATAATATGCATCATGAATTGTGGCTTTTGTTACATGAAATAACAACTCGAAATTTGATCTCTTCGGTTAGAAAGCTTTGCCTTGATGTCAGAAAAATTATTAACGAAGAATGTTTAAAATTATTGTGCAAGTCTTGTAGACATTTAGTGAGTTACAATACTCTATTTATTATCTTAAATTAATTCGTGCTTTTTCATCAATAAAGCTCATTAAACTGTCATTTCATCATAAATCTTAAAGCGAATTCTTAAAGTTGACATGACGTTAGTGGAACCTTTTTGGAGTTGGGATTCACGAATTGCACAACTAGTATCTTCTCAAAAATATCTAAGTTCCTTTATAATGAAACGAGGCAAATGTACGGATGCATTAATTTCTGCATTGGAATTGCACGCAGATTCTCTGCGACTTATCCATTTTCGTAGGGTGGATTTTTCAAAATGTACCTCAATTGGCACTTTTAAATCCAATTGTAAAAACTTGGAAGTATTAATAATCCATGGCTGTAAATATTTGTCAGGGAATGTGCGCGAAGAACTGATTCACGCATCATTTCCCAAATTGGTTGAACTTGATGTTAACGGAACTGATTTTGATGGAACAATGACTTCATGGAATAATTGTGTGGGTAAACGTAATGAACACCAAGAACTAAAATTCTACTGATGGGGTGGTAAGTGGTTTGCTTTTTAGAGAATTCATCTAGATTTAGTACTATCTTAGAGTTTACTCGATTTTTTTTTTTAAAAATTAGTTTTTTTAAGGATTGGCAAACCAAAATTTGTTTGTAATAGTCACGAAAGAAACCTTAAATCAACAGGTTAATTCTTACATCTCTTTCCGACATATTACAACTATCTTTAGCTATCTCTGTTTAGATCTCTTCGTTCGTTAACAAGAACGCGAAGAGTTCACATATTTATAGGTATTTTCGTTCACAATATTTTGTAGCTGAATAATATTCGATTATTTATATTCATGTTAGTTTGAAAAGGTACATTTAATGGATCCCGTTTTTTACAATTTTAATTTCTCATTCTATGGACGCCATATCGTTCCGAAATTAAGCATCTCTGAAATTAAGCGCCAAAAAATTATATTTTGTCCCTCGTTTCCTTGTTTTTCCTGCTTTCATATCAACTTTATTTTATAAATAAAGTAGTTTTTTTTTTAGCTGATTTTTGTACAATTTATCTTTACTATCTACTAGTTAAATTACAGATGTTAGTAATTACAATAAAATATACCCGACGACAAATTAAGAGTATAAAATTTTGACTTTATGACAATGTACCCTATCAAAATGTCCGGATAAACTAGTCAGTAGTCTATAATACTGTAAATTGTCACATACAAGACCCACAGTAGTAGACCCACGATGTACTATCTAAATCGCCGTTACAAATGCAAAACATATGTTCTTTAAAATTTTTAATGACATAAACTTTCAACCAGATACTATACCGGAGTCTCTATATAAGTTTTAAAATAGGTGGCATGTAAGAGACACGGGTCTTGTATATAACAGTTTACTATAACTTGTGTAGTTGA